TAGTAGTAGTAGTAGTAGTAGCAGTAGCAGTAGCAGTAGTAGTAGTAGTAGTAGTAGTAGTAGTAGTCGTAGCCGTAGTAGTAGTAGTAGTAGTAGTAGTAGTACTAGTAGTAGGAGCAGCAGCAGCAGCAGGAGTAGTAGTAGCAGTAGTAGTAGTAGTAGTAGTAGTAGTAGTACTACTACTACTACTAGTACTAGTACTAGTAGCAGTATAGTAGTACTACTAGTCATGTTCATCGTCGTGTTGGTGGTTGTGGTTGTGGTGGTGCGCAGCGGCTTCAAGCGCTGCTTCGCGCTGAGATCTCGATCGTGGCACCGACATCTACCAAGGCCCGACGATGGTCAGCATGAGCATGAACATCCCTACGAAAGAGCGTCGTGATTTGTATACCAGTTGTGGTCACAATGTTGAAATGTCCTGAATCATAGCTGTCATAGCTACAAAACAGTCAGCAGTAATCGTCAGAACTTTTCCGGCATCGAAGCATCCTTGCTTCAATTCAACTGCCAGGTGTTGTGCCAGCGCCTTCGCGACCTCTCTGGCGGAGGCGCTTTCTTTTATTTGTTTTTCGGTGTGCTAGCAATCTGCTCGTAGGAGGCCTGGCCGACATGCCAGGTAACAGCGCCGAGGCTTTGCCGCTGGATCCGAGCATCGGCACCTATGGCCTGGACCTTGGACGAAAGCATTTCGGGCATTCGGGTGTCGAACTGGCTTGAGCTTTAGAGTCTGGTGGCTTTTGTGATTGGGGTGATGTTGTAAGGTTTTGGTCGTTGGTGTACAGCAACCCAAGCATCTAACCATCCGCCGCAACGTACTCCTGCAACTCCCTATCACTATTGCGGCTCAATGCGTGATCTGCTCTTGGCTCGAACTTGGGTTTCGACTTCGGGACACTGGCCTGACACTGGGTTATACAAATTAGCTTCTTGCAAATGCCGGTCTATTTCCTCAAACACCCTGAATACCGTAGCCTAAGCTAGAAACTGAGAACATCTGAGAACAGTGAGTCCAGGCCCAGGGTCAAGCGAGACCTGCTGCAGGCACGCACACGTGCCAACTCCAGAACTCGGTGACGATGCACCTGCTGCTTTCACGACCGATTCTGGCCGCGAGCGACGCGGACTGCACAGCACAGGTCGAAACTCCCGCAAGTCCTCCTGTCATGGTTTGGTCTATCAAACACTCTGGAGGTTACCTGATTGAGCTGGGCCTGGGCCTCAACAAACTTGCACCAAGAGCCAAGGGTCCGCGAAGAGTGCGCCAAGCAGACTGCAGCTTGCTACCTAGACTTCAACAGGATGGCCGCGGTTCGTTTCCGC